CAGGCCAGCCCCACACAATGGCGTGAACCGCAGCCCTGCCGGGATGGGCATTGTTCACAGGCAGAGGAACGGGAAAGAAAAATAATAATAATAATAATAATAATTAAACCCCCTAACCCCCTAAATAGCTCGCACAAAGCCAGGTCATGATATCATCACTCCTCCTGTGTGTGTGTGCTGCAGCAGCAGAGCACCACGGCTTGCTGCGGTGCCTCTGGTGGGAGCAAAGTCCCTCGGCATCGCTGCCCTGTCCCACGGTGCGCCCGTGGAGATGATCTCTTCTCCAGCTCCCCGTCCTACCTCTCCTGCAAACTCAGGGTGCCTGCATGGGGTGTCTCCTGGGATGGAAGAGCTGTGGTGGGGCTGGCGGGCCGGGACACGTCCTGCAGTGGGGGGAGTGGAGCCGGTAGCACTGATTTACGGGCCAGACTGGAGCCAAGCACATGGATTTGCTTAATTGCAGGCCTGGGGGGCACAGGAGAACAATAACCAACAAGTAGAGACAAGGAGGGACATGGGTGTAAAGCCAGAAATAAGAGACAGAAGTCTGATTCCTCAGGGCCTGGATTTAATGTCTCTGAAGCGCTTGCAATGAGCCACGCCGCTGAAATGCCTGCACCTTGTTGCCTCCGAGCGATCCTCTGTACTCGGCAGAGCAGGGCCGGGCTGCCCACCGCGGGGGAGGCAGCGAGGGGATCCCAGCGCCTCTGCTACGCGTGGGACCTGGCCCTGAGGTGAGCTGCGGCAGAGGCTGGAGGCGACACTGGGGCCAGCGATGTTTCAAACTGAGCAGGAACAAAGACCAGAAGAAAGCGGTCCCTGAAAGGGCCTCCCCCTCCTGGTAAATCTCCGTAAATCTCTGCGGCGGCTGAGCCTGGCCCTCCTGGGCAGGTTTATGTCTGTAAGGCTGGAGTGGAAGGGCTTTTGCCAGGGGCTCGGCACAGCTCACGTTCCGGCCTTGCCTCTCATGATAACCAGCCAACAGAGGCAACCTGGGTCCCCAGAAATTTCCAGGGGCTGAACGAACATGAACATGTCCTCACCCACCCCGGGGGGGGGTGGAAGGAGACAACTTCGGTGGGCAGGTACAGCGCTGTTGCCCCCCATCTCCTCTGCATGAGGGGAACGAGCCCCACCTGCGTCTTGGTGCTGCCGGCCGAGCCCCATCCCCGGGGCAGGAGCAGGGTGTGGGGAGCGCTGGGGGATGGGGCGTGCTGCTGGCAGGCCGGTACGGCTGGCCCCGGGCCCCGGC